TGTGTGTTTTATGAACAAATAATGCTGACAAACAGGACTCATGATTCAATGAGCAAAGCTCAATTCATTGGTTACTAGAGTACCAAAATTACTTTCTAAATATTTAAACTGTAAAATTACACTGTGACAAACTCAGTCAGCAAGCAGGCATATAAAAGTAATTTAAGTAGTCATTTAGTTTGCCATAATGACAGAACTGCAAGTGACAACTCCACTGTCAGGTCAAAGCCCTCATTACCTTCTAATTTTAAGCTTCATTCACATTTTTCTGGTATATACTCTAAATTTTATAGATTTCTTCAAAAACTTACTTTCGATATAGCTGATGGGTTGCCAAAAATCTTCCATTTTGTTCCTGGGTTCTTGCCTTGAGCACTGAGTATCAGACAGCAGAATATCAATAACAACTTCCAGACTACTATAACAATCAATTCATGTAGTCAATACTTGGCTTTATTAGAGGATCAGAAGATAAAATTGAAGAAATACCATGGAGTGTTTGAAATTATTTTATCTATAATGTCATTCTCTAAAATTATTGCAAATATTCTAAAATTATGCAAGAGATGACTAATTTCTATTTGGGTAAGATTGATTTCTACATTTTACCAAATTAAGTGAATTTTAAAACACACTGCTAAAAAATAAAAGGTGCTGCAGATTGGATGTTTTGTCTGATTTCTAATGGAAATGAAGTTTGCACCATTTGTCAACATATGTGACTGGCTCTGCCTACATATTTTGCAGTAACTTTTCTACTAGTTACCAAATTCCAGCCTGATTTTACCAAACAAAAATTTACTAACTTTCCTGGGCCAACCTAAGGGGCCTGGTAGTAGATTTGTTCTAGTCAGTATTACCATGAAAAGGGTATGGGCTACAGCCTTCATGAAGCAACAGAAGATTATTATGGATGTCCCTGTCAGGTGAAAACTCCTGACATGGAGCATGTGCCCTATTGGACATCAGGGAATCTAAACACAGGCTCTTGGGGCCGTTGGCTTTCTCACCTCTGATTAGGGAATTACTTGCTTCTAGATTTTTGCCATTTGATGTCACATTTTTTGTGACATCTGATGCACTCAGCCTACAGTTTGCTAAGCATTTTTCAGCAGCATGGTTGACCTAATCAATCATTACAACTCTGCCATTCCCTTCTCATTTCTAGTTGCCTGCACTCCCCAATTCTCTTTATGCTCAGCTGCCCAAGCAATTGCCTGCAAGTCAGAATGAGCAAGAGGGGCAAGCAAAAGAAATGCTCCTCAGATTAGTTTTTCAGAGAACATCAACTCTGCACTGTATATGAATTAGGCAATTTCCTCTGCCCACACACACCTGGCAGCTCCAGCCACATGCCTGATCCCAGTGACTGGACTTAGCAAATTTTAAGGAAATCCAAAATGGCATTCCATAAACTGCACTCAAAATATTTTTTAAACTTACAGTGGATGATATGGTATACTATAAATTTCCAGGTTACCTGATTTATTTAAGGACTGCAGGATCAAGCTCTCAAAAAGTAAAAAAAGATTTTTAACTGCCAAGCTGTGTGTGCTTGCAGCAAATCTTAAACAAGTGGCTTTTTCTTCCCTCTTTATAAATGCATTTTGTTAATAGCACAGCCCTGGAACTGGCCCTGATTTGAGGCTGATTTGAGGCAAACTGAACAGGACATGGAAAATACCAGACATGACATGAGGAAATGTCAAACAAACAGTGATGCAAGAAGCTGACAAAAGTTACTTGGTGATGTGTAGGATGGTTGGGTCTCACTGAGGGCCCCAGTGAAGTTCGGCAAGAAACTGCCAAACTCCACAATCAACTTGAGGGGAGTTTGTGGCATCTTTGGGGAGCACAGTCCTGCAAAGCCAGTGGCAGCTTGGCATCAGAAATTCCATGAAAACGTGAGACAGCCTAGGGAACAGCATCAATTTTGAGTACAGAAGTTGCACATCTGGGACCAGTGCACATCTGGGACCAGTGGGGAAAATGCAGTTGGGGTGGGTTGTTCTCTCAGGATGGGACTGGTGCAGAGAAAGGGAGGCAAAGTGTGGTGGGAAAGAGAGGCCAGGAAGAAGTAAAAGGGATATTGAAGTTCCAAATAATGTGACTGCTGTTGTCACAAGCTTGTGCTGGACCAAAGGAATAAGCCAACCCCGTTTTCTGACTGCACATTAGGAGCTGGGATTCATTCCATGACTGCATGGAAGCAGATGTGCATTCCCTGGCCCATAAGGATAAAGAACAAAAGCCACTGGCAAACTCACATTGTGCCCATTCTAGGCCTGACATCATCAGCAGCTACCCAGTATTTCTAACACTTCTATAAAAACACTGAATTATGAAACACTCCAAAACACTCCTGTAGCTGCACTTTTTTGCCTCTCAGGATAATCTATTTTAATTTAGCTCTCTCAGAGATCAAATGAAAATGGGTAAAAATTAGAATTATTTTTGTTTTACCTGATAGTTGTTTCTGAACATTTTTCCAGCTTTCAAAGGTAGAAAATAATTTTAGCTTCTCAATCAGTAAAGACACTTGCAAGCTACGCTGGAAAACAAACAAACAACTTTATATAGGATTTGACATGAAAAAAATCCTATAATGACACTTCAGCCCATATTTTAAAATATGTGAGTATTATTGCAAAGTACTTTTCTGAGTAGAAATGTATATCAACTGCATCAGAGTGCTACTGCAAAAGAATTAACACCAAAATAATATTAATATTGATACTGTATTGGAAAACATTCTCTTTGTGCATCAAGTATTCAGGGCTGTCTTTTTTTATATTCCAAGTAAAAATTGGAATTTTATGTCAGTCCTTATTTTTAATCAACGAAGACTTTCTCATTCCTTAAAAATGCTTAAAAATAATCTTTACCACATTTTTTTTTATTGTTCTTTGTTCTCAAATGCCCACTGGAAAACATTAGAATCCATTAAAGAGAAGCTTAACATTCAATATGGAAAAGTAGAAACATGGAACAGCTGCAACAGAAATCTCTCAGTCTAGAGGTATTTGGCAGAGACTTCTGAGACAAGTTATCTTCTTTTACATTCAGAATTCTTTGAGGATGATTATTGTAAGACTCAAACCAAGCACTTCAGTTATCTGAGGGCTGCTCAAGTCATTGTCAATTAAGAGATGTCTGCAGTTATGGAATTGGAACAGTGGAAAGGGAAGGGACTGACACTGGAAGCCTCCCACATTCTTCTTTGATCTCACTGAGTGTCTGGGGGCTCACCTGGCATCAACAGAAAGTGAAGACACCCTGAACATAAAAGGAAGCTGTCACTCTCCAGAGACAGGGAAAATCCGCCACAAGAGACAACAAGCGCCTTCACTGAGAACTGAAAGTGCTCCTCAACTTATAGAAGAATCTTCTCACAAGATTCTGCCTCAATTTTACTTGATATACTTTGTTCTGTTCATGTTCAGTTTGGGTAAAACAACTTAAGAATTAAGTATTTTTAATTATTGGATATTTTTCAGACTGCAACCAGATTTTTAACAGAAATAAGTTGACCAGGTGATTCTAAATACAGCTTCTCATAATGAACAGTTCAGCTGTCACAAGCAAAGAACAACAAATTTTAAAAAAAATTAAGAAAATATCTATGACTACAAATGAACTAGAAATTCAGTGACAATATGCATGAATTCATGAAGAATGAATCCAACAAAAGGATTAGGGCAACATTCTATTTGAAAAAGTAAATAATCATTCATTTATGAAAAGGTGATGAAATCTATTGATATTTATCCACATTTATTTTAATCAGCAACAATTAAATCTTAAAGTTGTCTGTAAATAAAATAAAAATGGAAAAACAATTAGATATTGTAAATTTATCCCATGCTGTTGCCAGAAATATTAGTTCATTCACAATTTTTTGATTATAAGGAGAATGAAATTTAAAAACACAGCATTTTAACAGGCCTATCAAAACTTGTAATTAGTATTTTGATCAAATTTAACTAATATTTTCACTGCACTTCTAAAACACCAGTTGCATTATTCTATGTTTTATACTGTTTTCTACACAGATTTTCCGCCTGTTGGTATTTTTTTTTAATTACTTCATTAATAGCTATATTGAGCTACTTAATTATGAACTAGACATTTTAGAAATACCTTTTAAAGAATGCACTTCTAAAGCAAGTGTATTAGACTTCTCTCTAAATATTCACTTAATATAAAGATCACTTATTTCTGAAATCACTGTTCAGTTTTCTGTCTGCAGCCCTATCTTTGTTATTATCTACAGCCTTTAAACAAGCTTGAACTTTTCAAAATTGTGTGATACATATCTTAGTGAGAAGTAGTGGCACCATGACACTAATATCAATGACCTACTGTTCTGACTCCCTTTGCCAGAGCAGAATGTGAAGGACCTCTAGTGAATGAGGGAGCCCAGCCCACCTGCAGGACACATTTATGACGAGTGTATCCCTGTAACTCACACTTTGAGGACTGAGGATTTCACCATCTCCCAGTTTTTCTTTATTATAAATTTTATGTGAAGGAGATGTAAAGGAATACATTTTTTTTTCCTGGGGTCAAAGCACTTTCACTAACTTGCTCTGAAGATCAGTTTCAGACTTTCCAAGCATCATGCACCTAGCACAGCCCTCACATATTTTGCAGCTCTGTTACATCTCAGGAAAAAATATTAGGACTAAAGAAACGTAAGGAATTCTGATCTAAAAGTTACTGTATAAAAGGTTTTATGTTCAGAGACTGAAAAAATAACTCACCTCTTTCAAGGACTACTACCAGTATCCTGGCTTAAAATTCGTTATCAATGCAGTTGTGTTTTAAACTGATATTCATACGGACAAGGTAGCTTATCTGCTAATTTTCAGAACATATTTTATGCAGACTCAGAAAACTGATGACTGTCGTAGGTACCAAATTCATGACCAGGTGGCTCTTCCTAATTTCAGTGGAAGGTAAACTAGACCCAAAGTTTATAAGCATTTGTGTTTGGACACATCATTTAGCTACAAAGCTGTAGCTGTCATTGTCAACAGCTCTGTGAAATCAGCAAAATGTCAGAATGTTTTTCATTAAGGCAGGAAAAATACTGCAAGTGACACTGCAGTACATCTTTGCTTAATTATAACTTAACAAATTTCATTACTACAAGTGAAGACTAGAAATTACCTTTGCTATTAAGATTGGTCGCCACTAAAACCGTTAAGTGAACTATATATTTGTCATGTAATTACTGAGGTAATGTTAAAAAGTACTTTCATTATGTATCAAGTACTACTGTTTTTAATTATAGTAAGCTATTCTTAAAGGAGAGAATGGTCTGGAAAATTGATAGTTGCAATATTTTTCCTCTTTTTGCCTTTCCTCTTCCCAGTCCCTCCAGAAAGTCTAAAAATCAAGAGCGCTTAAAATCCAGAGGGACTATATTAAAAAAGAATCAACAGCAATTTGAAATTCAAGTCCTCATTTTTTTGCATAGTTATCAAATAAACAGATATTTTATGACATCTTTGTAGAATGCCATAAACTAGTAGCTTTCTCATTTTTTAGTCACAGATCAAACTTAGTATTTTCTTGCCCTTAACCACGTACTTTAGTATGTCTGTCCAACTGGAAATACAGGCATAAAGTACCAGTCAATGGCAAATAATCAAGAATGTAATTTATAAAGTTAAGCAACAATGAAAGATATTTTTGAATAAATTCCTATCCAAATTTACCTTGTGATGTCTTGGTTTGTGCAGTGACTTTGATCATTAGTTTCACCATCCTTCTTATGCAAACAATAAAGTAGCAGTATCCAAAAGGCCCCTTATTCCTTCCATTCACAAAATCCACTTAGGATTCCATAAAACTATCTCCATTCTATGACAGCTTCTTACGTATATTTCAATAATATTTGGTGTTTATGTAGTCCCAGATTCCAACAATTGGTCCTTTGAAATTAACAAGCAAAAAGAGTATTTCAGGAACAGCAAATGTAAATGGGCCTTCATGCCTTCTTAATCTAATTAGTACTAAGCACCAGTCTAAATCCACGAGAGACAGGGATGGACAGACTCACACAGACCTAAAACCTTTCATAGTCATGGTTAGTCCCCTCTCTTAAAAGGTACTATTTACATAAGTATATGAATACAAGTTTCTGATCAATATCCCAGCGTCGGAAAAGCTATGTTTATTTAAGATTTTTTATTCCAAAGTCATATCTGTGAAGCAAAATAAAGTGAATTTGCACATACTACTAATTTGCATTGAAAAATGACACGAATAGACTATTTTTGGCAGGGCACACAGGCTTAGACCCAAGACTGTTCATACATATAACTCAGCATCATGGGCCCAAAGCCAGAGCTGATTTATGGTGGCTGGGACACGCCAGGGAAAGCAGTTCATCACTGATGAAGGGTTTTAGTATCTCTCAGACAAATGAATTCCACATATTAAATATTTAAAGCTGAGTTTGTAACACCACTATATATTTTCTCAAAATACAAGTTAGCATAATAAATGGGCAGAAAGACCATTAATAAGCTATTGCAAGCCTACAGGAGCTCCAACGGGCGAAGCAGCGCAGCTTTTATGCACAACCCGCAGAATTAAGGGGAAAAATACCTTAAAATAGAAGCTTTTGCTTTATAAGAATTGGACTGCAAAACGCTTTGGCACAAGACCCACGACCACCTGCGGCCCCGCTTCCCTGCGCAGCTACAGCGGCACGGCCGCGGCCCCCCCGCCCTCCGCTGGAGCCGGGGCCGGGGTCAGGACAGGGGTCGGGGCCGGGGCCGGGGTCA